TACCGGGCTTTACTGATACTGTAAATCTAGTAATCTATGTTGTATACATACAACAGTAACCGTAGACAGAGAAACCTATAGACAAATTGACGCCTTCTTTCGCATTCGCACACGAAAAAGATAGATTTATGCATACGTCTTGCATAGAAATGAGATAGAGCGGTGTGATTGTTTGTCCCTTTCACCGTGCCGGTTTTTTTTTTGAAAGCGAGAAAGAAAGAAACTTTGAAAGCGTAGCGATTTAAGGAGTTTAAAAGTTGGTTTAAGTGAGAAAAAAGTGTTTTGTGAGCCTAAGATTGGTGAATCTTGTTCAGTTCACTTCTTAGAACAATTAAATTTTTTATCTAAATGTGTTTAAAAGTCATAAAGATTATTGTATAACCTAAAAATTCGTTATCGTCCTTTCTCACTCGAGGCCACGCCGATCATTAGTCTATAGGTTTCTCTGTCTACGACAGTAACAGTAATCTTTGCTGTATATATACTAGAGTGCGCGCAAGATAACTCTGCGCGCGGCCAAAATTGGAACTAATCGTGTGCCGCCATCTTACTGTTAATGGCAAGTGTCTAAACAGAGTGGTAGGTGTCCTGTTTTTATTCTTTTTTGCAGTAATTAATCGTTATCATTATGCCGAAAGTGATTAAAAGTGCTGGCGGGGATGTTATTTTGAAGGTCAAACGTGCTTGTGAAGAAGAACGAGACAATAACGGGCCTATAGTACCGTTTTCCAAAGTTAGGGCCCGCGTTGCATATTTAACAGGTAATTTTTAGGGATGCCATTACAATAAAATTCCCCAATTTTCTCTATTTGTTCCTTTTTAATTTCCTCGTGTCATTAATATCATGTATTTATAATGCATTGTTTTTATTTTGTTTTAGGTGTTTCTGAACGCACCGTCACCCAGATAAGTCAAGAGGGTAATATAGCAGAAGCTTCATCTTCTAAAATTGTGACGCCGTGAAAAACTAGGAACCGAAGGAAAAAAATTTATGATTTAGACGATTTCGATATGTGCGCTATAAGGCATTTAATTCAATCATTTTACGTCGTGAAGAAGGAGATTCCTACCATAAATAAATTTTGGTTGGAATTGAAAACTGATATTTGTTTTAAATATGGCAGAACATCGTTGAGGAGTATTTTAAAGACTATGGGCTACAAATACAAAAGGTGCCAGTCTAAACTAAAAGTATTGGTAGAACGCAGTGATATTGCAGCTTGGAGAGCAAAATATATAATGCGCAAGAATCGTCAAAAAGAAAATCGACCGGTAATTTATGTTGACGAAACGTATATACATGCTTCATACCACCTTCAAAAATGTTGGCAATCGAAGGAACAGCCTGGTATTCTTGCTTCTGATAGCGTCGGTGCAAGACGGATAATAGCCCATGGTGGAGGTAAAACTGGGTTTGTTGAAAACGGACTGCTGCTGTTCAGGTCTAACTCCAAATCGAATGACTATCATGACGATATGAATTCAGCTAACTTCATGCGGTGGATGAAAGAAAAACTTGTGCCGAATCTTCCAACAAATTGCATTGTAGTGATGGATAATGCGTCATACCACTGCACACAGATCAACAAGGCGCCTACAATTGGCAATACAAAAGCAGAGCTCCAAGGATGGCTTACGAGAAATGGTATTACATTTGAAGACTGTTGGACAAAAGCGCAATTATACGAATTAATTAAAAAATACAAAGGAGACCCACAGTACGAAATAGATCAAACGCTAAATGAATATGGACATGAGGTTCTCCGTTTGCCGCCTTACCACTGCGATTTAAATACCATAGAAAAAAATTTGGGCAATAGTAAAGAGACGCATTGCAGAGAAAAATATCACTCAAGCTCCTAGCGAAATAGCTGCTATTACTGAGGCGGCGTTTAGAACAGTAACGACAGAAGAATGGTTCAACGTATGCCAACATGTAGAAAAAATAGAAGATAAATATTTCCAATCAGATAGGCTGATGGATATGGAAATGAATGAATTTGTAATTAATGTTACAGGTGACACATCCGAGTCATCTGATGAAGACTCTAGCATGGATTCTGATGAAGATATGCGAATGGAAGGCGTCCACCTTCCACTCCACATCCACTGCAGGACCATTGTTACACCAAATTTATAAATAATAATAGATATTCAATAAAAGATTTACAAGGTTTCCTTGGACTTTTTATTTCGTTCTTTATAATAAATATTATAATGCTATTTCAGTTGTTTCAAAATACCTTTTTTGGAAAAATTTATTATAGACAAAATATTAGTAGTCATTAATTAGTCCTTTTTATACACGCATATAATAGGTACCTGTAATTGTGTAAAAAAAATTGTAGTGGCGTAGTTAAACTTGTGTAGTGAGGTATCAAACTTATGAAAGTTAGAATCAAGAAATATATTTATTACGCGGATCTTAAACAATAAATATGGGGTTTAAAAAATTATTAAGTCTTTGTAAGTTTAGGCTGAACATTACAGTTTTTTTAATTGTGATTTGGTAATCAATTAGGTAATTTATGTAATTTGATATAATTATACAATTCCAGTAATAAGATTAAACGAAGGAAAAAATATTAGTTAAGCTGGCAACATTAAGCACGCCATCAGTCGCGCGCAGAGTTATCTTGCGCGCACTATAGAGACTCCAAACGTTAGTTTCTACCATAGAGATTAGAGAACAGGAGAACGATCGCTAAGTACTAAAGCATAGCCCGCCTGTCCTTGAAAATTTGTAGAATTTATAGCGACACTGCCGTCAGTGAGTAGTGGCTGCGAAGTTAGCTGTTTATGAGTATAAGTAGATGAAGTTCGTTGAATAATGTACAAATTTTCTTCGCGGCATTGGTAAGAAAATTTTCATGCTCCGTAATTTTTAATTTTTAACAAAATGAAACATTAAAAAATGGAGAAATATTTTATTGTGCGTGGATGTGCAAGTGATTTAGCATCTGATCAGAAAAATAGACTTAAAATGACTTTTATTGAGCGAATTTAGCGATCGCAGCGCCTCACGTATGGTGTCCATGTTTTTGGGACATTATTTTCTACAGATATATAGCAGATAATGCTTTGTTGAATATAATCGACGGTTTATATTTTCCGCCAAGCAAGTGATAAATCTACATAAATAAAAATGTATAACCGCATGTATGAAATATCATTACTTAAGAAAGGCTGGACAGATTACGATGCACTCACCCTTACAATTGTACCCAATGGTCATATTTGGCGTTGTTTTCGAGATCTAGAAAACAGTCGTGCAAAGCCGGGGCGGATTGTCAGTTAGAGGAGTCAGCATATAAAGTTGGGATTACAAATGGGATCCAACTCGCTCATGTACCGTGTGTCTGTCAAGACTAGGTATTAATATATCCCTAATTATTAATTTTTAAAGTTTGTGAAACGAATATTTGAAATGTAATATAATAATCATCATAACTTGATTTAGAAAACAATTTACTTGATCGTTCGTATAATAATAAGACTATTCCTATTTTTAAATATTTTTAGGAATATGAAGTAATAAAAATAAATTACTAAACAAAAACGAGTAGGTATATCGATGTCGAGTGCAGCTAACATTGCGAACGAAATCACTATAGATTATAGTCAAGCAAATCTAAGAAATACCTTTTGACGTTTCACATTAATCATTCCGCAATAACTTTACACAAGCTTACTCACACGATTTAAAATAACCTTTTACGTAAATCCGAAGAAATATGAAGTTATCTATTTTTCATTACAACGTGCTTAGTAGTTTTCTCTAGAGTTTCGGCACATTTACTGACGTCTTCATCCTCTATAATATGTGCTGATTAATCAATAACTGTACGTAATATTTCCTATATTAATAAGAACATTCGCTTAGATCGAAATAAAGATGATGCAAAGCGCTATTACTGATAAAATAAATTTCAATGTTCCACTAACTTTTTCTTTAGAACTCCAATTTTCACCACTTTCTTGTTATTACATTTTTATATAGGTAGATTATTATTTAACCACACACACAATCTCCCGAACAAAACCTTACTGACTGCCACACCACTATACTTAGAATAGAACAGTGAACTAAAATAACAAGAACATTGTTTTATTCCTTGGGCGCAACATAAATATTTTTAATCGTAGAAAAAGAATTTTTCTATCCACGTTTTTAATTGTCTCGAATTACGCGCCAGTGATCCCTATGTGATTAACTCCTTTTAACGATAGAGCTGTTAAAAATAAAACAACTTTGAATATAAAAAACGCGTCTTAAATATAAATTGTGGTTGTTTAACAGATTTAAACCTTAACTTAAGCATATCAGGCGTGATAATAACATTAATATTTATAGTAACGGAACGTTGCTTCGAATGAAACCCGTATGAACGAATGAAACAGTATCATTTTTTGTATTTTATCTGTGGATATTATTCAAACCAGTACCCAGTACTAAGTTTGATACTAACAGGTAGGTCCTCGGATAGTCTGCTTTTTATAATAAGCACACTATGGAGTGTAGAAGTAAGGAGTACAGACTGTGTATTAAAGTGCCAATAGAAAACCGTTAACTAAGGGTAGCGCCACTATAGCTACGGAGTAAATTTTAAAGAACGTGCCCAGAAATATTAGTGGGATAGACGACTTTTTCGAGATTATATTTACTAAATAAAATTATTTTAGATTTAAGAGCTACATAGCAGTTTAGCAGCACACTTCAAACCGTCGATAACTGCTAAGTTCATTTCAACCCAGTAGCTACTCCATCGCTGTTGTGGAGAGTTTTTGAACTGTTATTTACTGCTTACAGATGGCCACATTTTCAACTATTCTACTACAGGAGTTGGTACTCCTTATTTCTACACTCCATAAAGTACACCATTTGATCCAGTATTAAAATATTTTTGGAATAAGACCATTAAGTACATACTAACTATATAGAAAGTACATATTCATTCTACTTACATAGATAATTATAATAAATATTATCTATGTAAGCCATGGATCTTCCAGTTGTGGTTGATTCGAACGACGATGAAATAGTCTTCCACGAACTAGAGCAAATGAGGAGCATATTGGATGAGGCGATTTTGGAAACGCGCAGCATCCCTCTCGAAAATCGACCGCGACTTCCCCGCATACCCCTAAGCAAGCGAAATCGGGCTGTCGTGAGGGCTCTTAACCCAATGCTGATGACCTATTCGGAAGCCAGCCGGGACCTTTGCGAGATGCACTCAATTCATTTTGGCACTGCAGTGGCAGTTTGCCATATTATTGGCGCCAAACTTCCTTTGACTGGACGCGCTACTAGACAAAGTAGCACCATCCCCGCCTGGTGAAAAAGAATCGAGGACCGTATCGCAAAGGCAAGGGCCCTTATCGGCAGACTGACAAGCTTCAGGTCGGGTAATAATAGACTGAGGATTGTGCGCACCGTTAGGATGCGCTTGCTGGGACAGATATCAGTTTGTCCTATCACGCAGAAAGTAACGGAGCGCATAGACGATCTGAATCAAAAGATCGCTGCTTGGGGGAAGCGGATTCAACGATTTACCGAGAGGTCAAGGCGGTTCCACGAGAATCGTCTCTTCCAGAGTGATCAGAAGAGGCTCTATAAATCATTGGAGCGACCAGAGGTATGTGGAGCAGGCCCAGGACCGGATCAGGCTGACATTAGCGCATTCTGGCGTCGCCTGTGGTCAGAGCCCGTAAACCACAGCGAGGGCCATTGGATGGAAGTTGTGGCGAGCCAGGGTGCGAGTGTTACGCCTATGGACCACATAACCATAACGCCGGAAGACGTGGCTGAGGCAGTCCGTAGGGCCCCGAACTGAAAAAGTCCGGAGCTCGACGGGCTGCATCATTACTGGATGAAGGGGTTCATAGTGTGTCACGCTGTGCTCGCCCGACAGTTTCAAGAGGCTCTCGACTAGAAGTCGCTACCGAGCCTCTTCACTACTGGGATCACTCACTTGGTTCCTAAAGATCAGGATACCACAGACCCGAGCAAATACCGCCCCATCACGTGTCATATATAAGACACTGACATCCATTTTGAGCGCGAGAATCACTCGTCACCTGGAGCTAAACCAGGTGATGTCACGCGCTCAAAATGGATGTCGGGGCGGTGGTCGTGGAACCAAGGAACCACTCCTCATTGACGTGGTCATAGGCAAAGTGGTGAAACGCAACCGTCGGAACTTCTCTGCCGCCTGGATAGACTACAGAAAGGCGTTTGACTAAGTGCCGCATACATGGCTAAAGAGGGTCCTCGAGCTGTACAAGACTGACTGTACAGTTAGAGACTTCCTCGAGCAGTGTATGGTGCAGTGGAGTACGATCCTTTGTCATCTGGGTGAGCGGATGATGGCTGCGGACAAAGACTATATAACCACTTGACTGCGCATACAGTGCCCCGACGCTCGAAAACTATTAGTATTTTGTCGCCTATGCATCGGCTATGGTACTATTAACCATTTTAGTATTGTCCAAGTGTTAGACCTGTGTGCACGCTAAATTAATGCAAATGTTTATAACTTTTATGCAATTATAATGCATCAAAATGCCTTCATGCGCGGTGAAGTGGTGTGGGAAACATTCCAGGACAGATTTCCAAAAAGAATGGAGTAACTTTTCATTGCTAAGTTTACTTATATAGTTTTTTAAAATATGAAAATTACTGTTGATTAATTCAGATTATGAGCCACCGCAGGGGTCTATCTAAAACGGTGGCCGGGTAAATAACGACATGGTTGAGTCGCGCGTTGATGTCTTTTGGAAAAGTCTCGTTCTATTATTAGACAATTCTAATGCTTCTATCTCTTTCTTTCTCTTTGTACGTTTATCGTAAACATTAGTACTTACTGTTACCTTTAATAGCTGAAAGTCGATATCGAAAATAATAAAATTAAAATTAATAAAAAGATTATTCAATTCACTCACTGTGAAAAAATACTTATCTACTTTTAACCGTCTTCAGAAAAAAGAGAAGGTTATCAGTTTGTCGGTATTTTTTCCTAGTTAAAGTTTATAGTTACCTAGGTAAATTACTGTTAATATATTACCGTACACTCCTCGACATTTTATGATAAATCTTTTGCTTTTATTGGAGTAAGACTCTGGAACTCCTTACCCCAGTCCATTAAAAGTGCTCAATCTTTAAATATGTTCAAGGAACAAATTAAGGAACACTATTTGTCTCTTTAACTACTCTCTCTTCCTCCTCTGAGTTATGGTCACTAATATACCTTAAGTATGTTGTCACTTTATAGTATATAAGTTGTATTTTTTTGTCTAATTTAGTGCACCCTACCCGTTAATCTTATTTTTATTTTTATTAATTTCCTCTTCTGGGTTGTCTGGAAGAGATTGCTATGGAGAAATAAGACCGCCTTTTATTTTTCCCTCATTGTTTGTTCATTATTTGTTATATTTATGTTTTGTTGGTGTACAATAAAGAGTATTGTATTGTATTGTATTGTTAAATTAGTTAGATTGGTGTACCAAATCAGAACGGCTTACAATTGCAAAAGGACACTAAAGACAAGTTATTGTACGGATCTACTACAATAATAGATATTTGTCGTCGTTGTAAAATTTTCAATAAGAGGGCGATCAATGAGAGTGGTTCAAAAGTGCTGTCTCCAAAATATAATACTAATTATTTTATGAGAACGGTTTTAAAATCTCTGATTAGGTATTATTGATTCCCGTATATTCATTTTCATCAATTTGAAATAGAATCAACAAATCATTTAATTGAATTAGCAAGATGCATAATTTACAAATATGTAGACGCTTATTTATATTTTTTACAAAGAACAATCATGACCCTTAAACTTTATTTCGAAATAAATATAACAAATTAATTCATTTCAAAAATCAATAATAATAAAATAAATACATATTTTCGTTGTAACTGATTGATTTTGATTAAATATTATTTCTATGATTTTAATTGAGTATTTTTCATAATGATAAAATCCATTTTATCGATAACGAATATTTTCCTTTATTAAAAAGAGCAACCCTAAAGATAGCCATAACAAAGCAACTTGACCATTCGCAGACACGCGTTCTTCCTCGCCCCCCGGCCCGCAGTAGTGAGTCGTGTGTTTAGAAGGAATCTGCCTATACGCTCTCTAGTGGTTATATTCTCTATGGCTGCGGAGAACCACATAAGGATAAGAAGGGGTAACTTCCAGGGCGATTGTCTGAGTCCAATCTGGTTCTGCCTCTCTCTGAACCCTCTCAGTACCTTACTGGAGGGCTCCGGGAGTTGATTTCAGCAACGGAAAGGAGGGACAAAAGTGACCCACCTTTTCTATATGGATGACCTCAAGTTATTCGCCTCCAGTCGCTCCCATCTTATGGAATTGCTAAACATCACTTGTGAATTTACTAATTCCATTGGAATGGACCTGGGAACGGATAAGTGTGCGGTCCTCCATGTTGAAAGGGGAAGGGTTACTAACTCTCAGGGCATAGACTTGAGGTGACAGACATGTGGGGTGGTATGCCGACCGAAATTATTCCTGTAGTCGTCTCTGTAAATGGGCTTATCCCAGTCAGCCTCTCGGGTCATCTGAGGCGACTGGGACTCCGTGACGGTCCGCTCCGGGCTCAAATGCAGAAGGCGGTGCTCCTCGATTCTTGTTTCTTTCCCTTTCCTCCTAACCCTCGGCCGTTTGGTCTCCCCTGCCGAGGGCTTTCATCTGGTTGGGCTTTTATTTATTTATGTATTTTTGTATTTATTTTATTTTATTGATATTTATGTATATTTATCTTTTAATTTTAATTTTAAATTATATATTTATAGAACCGAACCAGATGAGAAAACTATATAGATACCCCACATAAATATTAAATACTTTTATTTCATAATGATTTCTTATATTTACGCGAACACTATACATTGATAAAAACGAAGGAAGTAGTAGTAAAAAAGTAGGATTTTATCGCGTTTTATTTATTTTTATTTTTAATACCCGACGTTTCGGGTGCTTTCCAGCACCCATGGTCACGGGGGACTGAGGTGACTGACGTCCCGGTGTCAAAGTTAACCCGGAGTAACTTCAGCTTTTTAATTATTGTCTTTGGTCCGATCTACGTAGAATGAACTAACTGTGTTTTGAAGTCTTGCAGTGGTATGCTTGGGTTTAGTTTTAATTTTATTAATTATAGGATCCCAAGCAGGTGGTAGTACCCAGCCTCCTTCTCTATTGAAATTAGGATGTTTTTTAATTTCAATAGCCTCACGTATCATCCTTGGTAGGAATCGATGTTCTTTCGCGAGGATTTGTGGTCTATCAAATCTGATGTAATGGTTGGGGCCATCTAGGATATGACCGCTAACTGCAGACTTCCCGGAACGTTGATGCTTCACGTCAGCTATGTGTTCTTTTACGCGGGTTCTAATTGATCTTTTTGTTTGCCCTATATATGAGAGACCACAATCACAATTAAGCTTGTACACTCCTGCATCTTGTAGAGGAATATGACACTTGACGGATGGTAAGAACTGACTAATCTTCTTCGCCGGCTTGTAGAATGTTCTAATAGAAGCTCGCTTCAAGATGTAGCCAATCTTGTCTGTGACACCTCTGACATATGGTAGTACAGCAGGCACACGCTCGACTGTGGCCGGCTTCACTTGGTTACTGTGACGGAGGCGCGGGACCCGAAGCTTGTTGTCGTGCAGAACCTGCTTGACGTGCTGAAGCTCGGCAGCCAGGTGTTTGCTGTCACAGATCCCTCGTGCTCTCTGTAACAAAGATTTGCCCACGGTAGCTAACTGTGAAGTATGATGGTGAGATTCACCATTTAAGTATCGGTTTGTATGGGTCTTTTTTCTATACACAGTATGACCTATGGTGTTGTTAGGATTTCGGATGACTAGCACATCTAGGAAAGCTAAGGTATTATTTGCCTCTAACTCCATAGTAAATTGAATTTTAGGATTTATGGAATTAAGATGTTCTCAAAATGCAGTTACTTTGTCTGATGGTAAAATTGTGAAAGCATCGTCTACGTACCGCTTGTAGAACCTTGGGGTAACAGGTGCAGTAAGTAGGGCTTTCTCCTCAAAGTCTTCCGTGAATATATCGGCGAGAATGGGAGACAGGTGAGCCCATCGTAACACCATCTACTTGCTTGTAAAACTCTTCCTTCCGCAATAGATAACCAAATGTAAGGCAATGTCTTAGTAGTACTGCATATTCTGGTGGCATGTTATTTTCATCTAGTTTCCTAGTTATAATTGAGTTGCAGTCTTCAACAGGTAGGCATGTAAATATAGACTGAACATCAAAACTGACCATGGTTTCATTGTCAGCAAGAC